TGCCGTTCCTGCCGGGCTGAGTCACCGGTGTCTCCTCCAGCCTCGCTCCTTCACCTCCATCTCCGCTTCCAACTGAGTCATTCCCATGGGAGGTGGGGATTGCACTGACTGCGCTGCGGATCGCAGTGGGAGCCCGCATTCCCAAAGGAAAGCCGTTGTTTCCTTTGCACGCTCCGGGTTCCGCTTGTGCCGATGCTATCCCAAAAGCTGGCTCGGGAGCAGGGCTGGATGCCCCGGAGGTCGCTGCGTGGGGACACGGGGCTGCGGGCGCTGAGTCAGCCACAAGGCACAATGCAAATGATGGATGAACAGGCAGAACAAGGGCAGCGCAGGCAGCTCGGGCATGGGCCGGGCATTGTGACCTGCCTGTGCTCACAGATGGGTTCATGGACCACGGACTGAGGGCCTCTGTTCAGCCGCCGCCTGCTTTCCGGCTGCGCTTGGGTGCTTGCTCCCACTGAGGTCCCTTTGCTCTGGTGGCTCGGGGTGGAAGGAGAGGCATGGCAAAGCTTCCCAAGCTGGAATACCTCAGATAGATGTCTTGTTTGGTGCATCCCGTTTGTGCTGTAAGGGTTTCCAGAGCCCCTTTTCCCCGTGTCCAGCACAGGTTTGAGGGATGCAGCCCAGAAGGCCGACTGTGCCTTGGGATGCACCCAAAGAGTATGGACAGCAGGGCAAGGAAGGGATTCTGCCCCTCTGCTGTGCTCTGGGGAGACCCCACTTGCAGCCCTGTGTGCGGTGCTGGGGTCCCCAACATAAGGACATGGAGCTGTTGGAGCAATGGAGGCCATGAGGATGCTCAGGGGCTGGAGCACCTCTGCTATGAGGAAAGGCTGAGAGAGTTGGGGTTACTCAGCCTGGAGAAGAGCAGTGGTTCTGGGCACCCTGCTCTAGTGGAAGGTGTCCCTGCCTATAGCAGGGGGCTGATGTGGATGAGCTTTAAAGTCCCTTCCAACCCATTCCACGAGAAGCCCCCCAACACCCTCCTGCCCTTCCCATCCCCATGCATCCCCTTTGGCTGTGCCTTCCCATTGCCAAACCCTCGGAAGGACCCCGCGGAGCAGGAAAACCGGAGCCGGTTGTATCTTGGGATGCATCCAAAGGCGCACGGCCTCGGGATTTTAAGGGCACGGCCCGACGTGCAGCCACTCGAGTGCTCGCTGCCTTTGTGGCCACCGCACCTCAATGCCCCTTGTGTCTGCCTGCCCGATGCGGCACGGAGGAACGCGGCTCCTTGTGACCACAGCGGCTTATGGAGAGCTGGTGAAGCCACAGCAGCCACAGCACCTCACACAGGGACCTGTCGGGACCACGGGGCATCGGTCCATCGGTGCTCCCAAGGAGAATTCCTGCTTGGAGCATGCTTATCCCCCCTCTCTGTGCTGGATAAAGATCAATATATATATAACATAATCTCGTGCTAACCCGCCTGCTATTGACTTTAGCCTGAGAGGTGCCAGCCTGGAACCAGCTGCGTTGCTGCAGCCAACAAAGCCCTTTTTAGTGGCTTGAACCGGGGTGCCCGTAGGTCACAAAATCCTTTATTTATAGAGGCTTTCTGCAAAGCGAGGCCGTAAACAGAAAGGGGGGAGCTAAAGAAGAAGTCTGGGAAGGAACAAAACCCCAAGAAGTTATTTAGGAAAAGGAGAAAACACACACACAAAAAAAAAAAAACAACACAAAACCTCGGATAAAATGTGCATTCCCAAGGGAAAATCCCGGCTATGAAAGAGCCCTTTAACCAGCAGCAAAACAGAACCGGTGGCTGTAAGATAAAGCCAGGAAAAAAAATACCCCTTCCACTAAGGCCCCATTTGGAGCAGGGTTAGGAGACGTCAGAGGCGCTTCCCAACCGGCAGCAGCACTGGGAATGGGTTGGATCCCCCCCACCGGCATTCCAGGTCTGAATGAGGGGTAAGGGGAGCACCGAGGGTGCTGCAGTGATTGGAGCATTGCAGGTTGGGATGCGTGAGCCGCAATCAGTGCCTGACCTTAGGTATAATGTTGACTTTATCCCCATCCCATGCATTAAGTGAATGGGGTGGGACACAGTGACACACACCCCCCCCCAAGCCTGATTGATTTCTGTGCTCAACAGAGAAGCCAAAACCATCCCGACGGCCACAATCTGGGTTTGTGTGAGCCCTCGGGGCCATGTTTTCCCTTTGCCTCATTTTTCACCTCCACAATCCAACATAAACAGGCTTTTATGCCGGACACCAGCACACAGCCCCCTTGTTACACGCTGCTTCGGGGCAGGATATGGATGGGGAAGGGTTTTTCCCCTTCTTATTATCGCCACGTCAGAGGGTTTTAAGCGGAGATTAAAGGGATCTCTGTCACGAGAGGGACGAGCTGATAGAGCCATGGCTGCGGATGCTGGCATTCAGCAGCATCCAGCACAGGTCTTGAGGCTCCTCCTTGCACCATTGGATCACAGAGAGCGTTTTGCAGTGGGGGATCACCTAAACCAGCCCCTAAATCTGTGCTCTGCTGTGCTTTGGATGGGTTTTCCCGCAGGCCCCTGCATCAGAGGGGTCCAAAAAGTCACCCTGCAGCCCCAAAACCTGTCCACAGGCAGGGAGATGGGGGATGAAATGCAAAAGGAAAGCTCCAAAACTAAAGGAATACCAGAACCAGCCTCCCCACAGGGGTTTATCACCTTTGTTTACAGGGTTTTGCCCTATATTGGTCCATTTGCCAGGGCAGGATTTGGTTTGCTGCCTGCTTGGCTCTGGATGTGACAAGATTTCCCCCCCCAGTTTCACTTAATTTGGTGGTGAGGAGGAAATAACCCCTTTAATGTCCAAACCCAGAATGAGCCACTGGTAAAGAGCAATTCAAAAAGGAGAACTAAAACCAACCTGCAGAGATTGAAAGTCCCTTCCCACCCAAACCAGTCTGGGATTCTATGGTATCAATGGGTATTGGGGATGCTGGTGGGTGTCAGGGATGCTGGTGGGTGTTAGGGATGCTGGTGGGTATCACGAATGCTGGTGGGTGTCAGGGATGCTGGTGGGTATCAGGGATGCTGGTGGGCGTCAGGGATGCTGGTGGGTATCAGGGATGCTGGTGGGTGTTAGGGATGCTGGTGGGCAACAGGGATGCTGGTGGGTATCAGGGATGCTGGTGGGTATCAGGGATGCTGGTGGGTGTTAGGGATGCTGGTGGGCAACAGGGATGCTGGTGGGTATCACGAATGCTGGTGGGTATCAGGGATGCTGGTGGGTGTCAGGGATGCTGGTGGGTATCAGGGATGCTGGTGGGCGTCAGGGACACTGGTGGGTATCAGGGATGCTGGTGGGCGTCAGGGATGCTGGTGGGTATCAGGGATGCTGGTGGGTGTTAGGGATGCTGGTGGGTGTTAGGGATGCTGGTGGGCGTCAGGGATGCTGATGGGAGTCAGGGATGCTGATGGGTGCTGATGGGTGCAAGCTTCTTGCTCAGTTTTCTCTGCTCAAATACAACGCGTGCCTTGTGGAATTGCTCCTGCTTTTCCAAGGCAGGTTACAAATGAAAAGGAAAACTAAAAGATCAATAAGCTCACTTATTTCCTTTTAACCGATCTCCATCGCTTGTGTCAGACACCCCCAAAACCAGGCTTTTTTGCCCCATTAACTGCTTCTCACAGCACATCCTACATGCTCTCAGTACAAGTCACCCCTGACTTCCCGGCTGGCTTTCTAGGATCGGGAGAGCATCCGCGGATTCCTTTGGGCTTCCTGCTGTGCCTGGCTCCTGCCTGCCCTGCCTGCAGCGCACTCCTCCCTGCCACCATTCCAGTTCTTGTGCTTCCACCAAGTGATTCACACCGGGAGTGGGAGGAATATTGCACAGGAGGAAGCCTCTATTTACAAATAAATATCCCGGTTATCAGGGCAGGGAAGGGAGGGGGAAGCAAGAAGCAAGGGAACAACAGAACCTTGCCTGCTCCGGGGTCCTCTCCCAGCTTGTTTTCCCTTTGGGTGGCTGGGAAGTGACTCACTGGTGCTGGCAGAAGGGATTGGTGGCCCTTTTGTGGGGGCAAGAGGGAGCTTTGCCCATCTCCCCATCCACCTTGGGAGAGGCGGTGGAGTTTGTTCTTCCCCAGTGGCTCTGCACCATAGATGGGAGCAAGGGTTGGGGTGGGAAGGCCAAGCCCCGAAGGGGTGGGAGCGCTGTGGTCAAACACTTCCACATGGATGGGAGCTGCGCTGGAACACTTGGGATCTGGGGGGTGAAACTCGGTGCTGGGGATACGGGGATCGGCAGCGTTGGGAACAAACAGCTCCCAGCCCCTTCAAAGAGCTGCTTTCAAGTGCTAAGGGGAGATGGTATCACCTGGGAACACCGGGAAGGCTCAAACCGCAGGGCTGGGAGCAGCTCCCGCAGGGACCTGGCTTAGCACCGACACAGCTGCAGGGGGGTCCATGCACTGGGGGGGGTCCATGGGGTTCCTAATGTGCCTGTCCATGGGGAATAACCCTCCAAGCGCGATGCACTGCGGCGCTTCGGCCATGCCCATGGTGTTGGTCCCCATCACCCCGCCGGGATGTGCTGCATCCCCCCACAACGGGAACCTATGGATTTCGGGATGAGGAAGGCCGGGCTCAGCGGGGTGGGAGGCGAGGAAGGGGCGTGGGAGCCGGGCCAGAGGAAGGAATGTGTGTGCGGTCCGTGAGGCAACCGGTGCTCGGGGATGCACCGGGGGGGGGGCTGCCGTGAGCCCCAACGGGGGGGGAAGCGGGGTTTGGATGGACCAAGGGCGATGGGACCGGTGCGGATCAGTGCAAGGAGCCCATGGCCGGGGGTGAGCTTTAAGGTCCCTTTAACCCCCCCCGGGCCGTGGCTCTATGGGGACACCGGGCGAGCCCGGACCCGCTTTAGGGATGGGGCGGTGGGGGGGGACCCAAGGCAAGAACCGATCCCCATGGCCCTTGGTGGGGGGGGGGCCGGGGGTGGCTCCGCCCCGGGGCCGCAGTGGCTGGCGGCGAGTCCGCGCCCATTTCCGCCGGCGCGGAGCCCGGCCCCTCGCCCCGCCGCGCTGCTGGGCACGGGCACCGCCACCGGCCCCGCACCGGCCCCGGGCCTCGCTGCGGGCCTCGGCTCCCGGACGCACCGACAGCATGGGCGGAGAGGCGGCGGCCGCGCTGGCCGTGGGTAGGTGCGGGAATGGAGGGGGGGGGACACGGGACGGGGACCCGGAGAGGTCCCCCCGTACCCCGGTACCGCCGTGCCCTGAGCGCCGCTCAAGGCAGGGGTCCGGCTGCAGCCAGCCCCGTTTGGGGGGGGATTGGAGGGACGGGGGCGATCGCGGCTGCGCTCCCCAAAACTTTCCCATGGGCTAGGACGGAGCCCCCCGCGCATCCCGGCGCAGCATCCCTATGGGGGGTGGAAGGGGAACGGGGGGGTGATGAGTGCCGGGGGGGGGGCTGCAGGGACTCGGTTAAATCCTGGCTGCGGTCCCTGCTGAACCGCTCCTCGCCTTCGGCACGGCGGGGGAGCGCGGCCCCGGCGGGACAAGGAGCCCTCCGGTCCCGTCCGCTTGGGTTAGGGGAGAGGTGAATGAACCGCGGGGTGCTCGGGGGGCACGGAGGGGCCGCTGTTTGCGTGCTGCGGAGCGGGGCGAGGCGGGGGCAAGCGAGCCCCTGGGGGGTGATGCGATGGGACGGATCCAGACCCGCTCCCCGAGCCCGGGGACGGGGTCATTGCAGAGAGCGCGGAGCCGGCGGTGGGTGCCGCTCGCTGGGATGCGTGTGCGTGTGATGGGGAGGGGAGCCCAGGGCTGGGGCCGGTGTGGGGCAGCGCTCGCTGGGGTTTTGCTGCTGTCCCAAGGGAGCGTTGTGCGTTCCCAGCCTGCGCCGCCCGCAGCACCGGGGCTGGGGGACGAAGGCAGCGCCAGCCCGGCGGGGAGAGGCTCTTTGAAGCACTTGGGCTCAGGAAAGTGCCCGGTCTTGGCCCCCCTCCAGCCCTTCTCCTCTCAGCGCTGCCGCTTTGGCTCTGGAACCCGAGGTGCCTCCTGCATCCGCTCCTCCGGGACGGCTCCGTCCCGAGCATCCCTCGCCGCAGGGGCCGGGTGCTCCGTCAGCCCCATCCCTCCTCCAGAGGGTCCCTTCAGCTCGCTCTGGGGGTGCCCACGTCCCCTCTGCTCCCGTGGCTTTGGACCCCTCCAAGCCGCTGTAGGGTCTAAGCTGTGGATTTCCCACCTCAATCCCGCATCCAGATGGCTGCTCCCGGCCTCCAGCCTGGGATGGGTCCAAGCCACCCCAGATGCTGCGCAGGGAGAGGAGCCCTTTATAAACCACATCAAACCAGGAGCTGAGAGCATCCGCTTAAGGCACGAGGGAGAAGGGGAACCTCCTCGGCCCAGCGTCCGTTCACCTGGCAGCTGCCAAGGGCTGGTCCGTGAAGCCAAGAGGAAAAGCAGAGCCAAGCGGATGAGGAGGGAAAACCTGGAGCAGGGAACAGAACCCAGCAGTAACAGGGAGCTCCTCATGAAGAGCAGGGGTGAGGCTGAGCCCTTCACTGGTGGCTGCTGGTTAATGTCGTGTTGGGGCCCATCAGCAAGTTGGGTGAGTGCAGGGGGGTGGCAAAGAGACCTTCCCAAAGCAGGGGGTGGATGGGGATGGGGTTGGGGGCAGCAGCTTGGCCGGTGTGGGCAAGCACTCAAGCACGGAGTTTGGGATGGAACCAGAGCAGTGCAGGAGATGGCCTTTAAGGTTTGGGAAGAGAGAAACCTGAGCACGGGGCTGGGATGGGATTGATGATGAGCAAGCGGATGGACATGGGCTGTGGGTTCTGGATGGGCCGGTCACAAGGGTGTGGATGCTCCATGTCTCCATAACGTGCCTCTTGGGAGCCCTTGGAGATGGAAGAGCGCTGGTGCTCTACCTGCAAGCGGAGGGAGGTTGGGAAGAGGCACCTCTGGAGCTGAGCAGGGTCCCGATAGGAGGATGGGGAAGCTGGAATGCTGGAGGGGATGATAGAGCCGCCCAGTGACACAGGGATGAGCCATTTCCCACGTATGTGGAGATGCAATATCGGCGCGAGCAGGAGGATGAAGCATCTTCCAGCCACGAGCTGCTGGTGGCAGCACAAAAAGGAAGGAAAATTGGGAAGAAACGGGGTATTTCGGATTCAATTCCCATGGGAGGAAAATGCCCGAGGGCTTTGGCAGCAGTGGGGACCGATGGGGAGAAGCCGAAACAAGGGATGCTGCTGTGATAACGGAGCTGCTGGGATCACAACTGCTTGGTGCTGGATGTGAACCCCAAGGACTGGTTCATGCGTTGGTCTCTCACCCGTCGCCTTTCTGCATGATTGGATGAACTCCATGGTGGAAACTGGGTCAAACCCAGCAAAGGGGCTCTTGGCTTAATCCGGCTTCACCCACCCTCTGGAAGCTTGGGGGGTCCCCAGTGTGCTCCGTGCCCCCACAAAGGGGGGGGTGTTCTGAGCCTGCCTGGATCTGCAGCCCCTCGAGGTTGGGGTGCGTGAGCATTGCTGCCTGCAAAGGGCTTTCCTGCCTGCACCGCAGCAGCGCTTCCAGCCTGGGCAGCGTTTAGGGGTGATGGAGCGGTTGCATCAAGGCTGGATCCGGTCCCACTGTGCGGATGCGGGCAGGAGGAGCTGTGCAAGGCGGTGCTGCATGGAGCTGTTAGATGAGAGAGCACACGGACAGGCTGGTTTCTGGCTCTGTTCTGGCTACAAAGCGCTCTCACAGGCACCATTGCCTTCTCTTTTTACCAAAACCCATAAATCTCGGGGTGATTTTGGGGTAGAACCCCCCAAGCCACCGACCAGGCTCGGTCCAACTGACCCCATCTCTCTGTCCTCTCCTTAGGTGTGCTGCTCGCTGCATGCCATGCGCTGGAGAACACCACAGCAGACCGGAGCGGTGAGTTTGCCGATGGGATGGAGCTGGTGTGATCCCAATGGGATTTATGGACCAGGCAGCAAAGCATGGGTGTGGGTAAAGCATCCTCATGCCACGCATGTGCTGGGTCAGCCGGGTGGATGCTCTCGCATCCCATGCACTTCCCTTGGGGATAACAGGTCTCCAGGTGGAATCTTGACCCTGTAGGTGCTTTATCCCTAAGGGAAAACCAGGAAGCAGGGCTCTGCGGGGTGTATTTCCCATGCTCCATGTTCTGGGGGGGGTGAATGAACCGTGGTCCCATTAACCGTGGCTCCCACAGGGAAGCTGCCGGTGCCTGACGCCGGCTCCCGGCGGCACCGAGCCGGTCGCATCCCATAATGTGCCTCATTCATAAAAGCAGCACAATGGGCAGCAGCAGCCAAGAGCCCTTCGCTTCCCCCTGCCCTGCACAGCGCAGGGGTTCGCCATCCATCGGGATGGGAGGCTCCGGAAGGGGCTGTTTGCAGGCAAGGGATGGAAAACGGGATGGTTCGATGGCATCGGTTGGGAAGGGTTAAAGGAATTGGTGTTCCCACAGTGCTGGGATGCTTTGGAGCAAAATCCCATGGCAGGGCAGGCACTGCTCAGCCCTTTCCCAGTGGATTGGTGCCCAGTGACAGGGACTGCTCCAAGGGGTGCAGCACCAGTATGGGATCACCTCATGGATGGGGACAGGGTCCATGCAAGCGGCAGCGTGGGGCTAAGGGAGGATGAAGGAGCTGCAATGTGGCCGGCAGCTGTGAGCGCTCCAAGGCTTAATGCAAGCCAGGACACCCCGGAGCCAGCCCTGGATCCTGGGATGCACTGCCCTGTGCTGATGCTGTCCCCACCGGTCCTACAAAGCCATCACTACTGAGGCTGGGTGCAGTGGTGGGCAGTGGCAGCAGGGATGTGCAAAGCTGTGTTGAGGGCTTGGCTTTTGGGGTTAAAACCCCAAAAAGGGGTATTTTCATGGGGTTAGTCAGGAATCGGGGCAGTCCTGGGGTAAAGCAATCCCTAAGGATGGAGGTGTTGGGGTTTTCTGCACCGAGGCGTGGATTTCAACAGCGATGCAATACAGCAGCGATTCCCACCGGGAAGCCCACATCCCAGCTCCTGGCTCCACAAGGATGCTGCCACCACCTCCAACACCTCCATCACCTCCTCTCTCCTCACTATCAGAGACAGGGACATCGGGATACATCCCCATCTGAGCCGACCCTGCTCCGTCTTCCCTTGCTTCACCTCCTCGGAGACCCGGAAGCATTCGGCAGACGTGGGTTTAATTACCCCAGCCTGCCATAAATTCACAGCAACAGGAACTTGAGGTGGCTTTGAAACGACAGCGATCGGATGTGCTTTATACCCAGGCTAATCCGAAAGCAGGATATTTGTTTTCCGTCTCTGCTGCGGAGGATAATTCAAACCAGCGCGGGATATAATGGGAAACAGCATCCCAAAGCCACCGGTGCAGAGCTGCAGCCGGCTCAGGCGTTATTTAACTCTCTCCTCCTCTGTTTTAAGCCTTAAGCTCTTTAGGAAATTCCTTTAGTGCCAGTGAGGCTTAGTTTCAGCCCTGCTTTAAGTAGGACCCATCTGAGCTCCTTTGGGTGGTCCTGGCCAGGATGCAGCCGGTGGACCGCATCCCACTTCGCATCCCTAAAATAAACCCATCCAGCCCTAAAACAGAGCTGGGGATGCCTGGAAATGCCCCCCCAAAATGCCATCTCCTCCTTGTTTTTGCTCCCAGCTCCGGGCCTGCCGGTGGCAGCAGCAGTGAGGTCCCACTTCAACGACTGTCCCGACTCTCACAGCCAGTTCTGCTTCCATGGGACCTGCCGGTTCCTGGTCCAGGAGGACAAGCCGGCGTGCGTGTAAGTGCTGGGAATACACTCCCGCAATCCAAATCCAAATGGGTCCTTTGTGCATTCCCTTTGGGAAACCCCTAAACTTGGGGTTGAGCATGGATTTGCCAGGCTCTGATTGATGCTCTGATCCTGGGGATGATGCTGATGCTCTTCCATTGGTGCAGGTGCCACTCGGGGTACGTGGGGACGCGGTGCGAGCACGCCGACCTCCTGGCCGTGGTGGCTGCTAACCAGAAGAAGCAGACCATCACCGCCTTGGTGGTGGTGTCAGTGGTGGCCTCGGCGCTGCTCATCGGGGTCTGCGTGCTCATACAGTGAGTACATGGTGCTGGGGACCTCGGGGAGGGGGGGCTCAGCACCTTTCCCAGCCCATTCCAGGGCAGGATGCTGGGATGCAGGCACTGAGCATCCCTCTCCTTGCTCCCTTGTAGCTGTTGCCGCCTGCGGAAGCACTGCCAATGGTGCCGGGCACCCGGGGGAAGCCAGGAGAAGCCGGGTGGGCTTCTGAAAGGGGGAACCTCCTGTTGCCACAGTGAGATGGGTAAGGGGACCGCGGGGCACCACGGTGGGACACCGGCTGCTGGTGTGTAACCGCGCTCGCCATCCCCTTCCCCGCAGGGGTCTGATGGAGCCCCTCGCCCAGGACAGCCCTCGCCGGGGACCAGCGCAGCATCTCCTCTCTGGTTTCCCCTCTTTCTTTCTTGGTTGGTTGGTTGGTTTTCCCCCCCTTTTTTTTGCCTTTATTCCCCCTTTTCCCCACCATGGAAGATGCCCTGGCGCAAGATGCGGTCGGCAGCACCATAAGGATGCTGGCAGTGGCAGCACCATAAGGATGCTGGCAGCAGCATCACCCTCTCCAAAGAGCCAAACCCAGCAACACGCAACTGGGGCTTTTCGTTGGCTTTTGGGTTTGCTTTTTCCTATTTCTTGGATTATTTGGGTTTTTTTTAACAGCAGAACCCCCAACCCCTGCAGGAGGGGGCTTTATTTTTCTATAGAGACAGAACCCCTCGGCAGTCGCTCACTTTGGGGACAGAAATGAGCTTTTTAGTAATGATCAAATGAACTTTAATCCTAGGAACCCTCATCAGGCCGGTGCTCTAACCTCCCGGCGCAGCCTTTAATCCTCTCCATAGTCCTTTCTCGTAACCAACCCGAAGCTTTCATGGTTCATTTGGGTTTTGTTCTGTTTTAAAGGCCTGGTTACTCTCATGTCTTCTGTATATGTTGCACTGAAAGTTAATATTTAATGTTTTAATTTATTTTGTGTGGTTAAATTAATGTTGATTTCTATAATATGTTATTGTGATCGGCTGATCTTTTTTTTCCCCCCCTAATACCTGGATTAGAGTTATTTAAGTGATATAAAGGACACTTTTTTCAGAAAACACGTGTTTCAAGGCTTTTTTGGGGGGATATTTGGCAAAGGAGATGCTGGGCGCAAGGGGAGCATCCCCAGGGCGCGGAACTGGTACCCTGGTGATGGGTGTAGCCCAAACAGGGCAGCACTGATAACCTGGTGCTGGGTTCAGCCCTGTTTCCCTGTGTTTCCAGCCCAAAACATGAGGAGGGAGGGATGGATGGATGGATGGAAGGATGGAAGGATAAATGGAAGGATAAATGGAGGGAGGGAGAAATGGATGGATGGATGGATGGATAAATGGATGGATGGATAAATGGATGGATAAATGGATGGATGGATAAATGGATGGATAAATGGATGGACGGATGCATAGATGGAGGGAGGAATACATAGATGGAGAGAGGGAGGGAGGGATGGATGAAGGGACGGATGAATAGTTGGAGGGGAGGGATGGATGGATGGACAGATGGATGGAGGGAGGGAGGGATGGGTGGATAGATGGATGGGTGGATGGAGGGAGGGAGGGAGGGATGGATAAATGGATGGACAGGCTGGATGGAGGGAGGGATGGGTGGATGGATGGATGGGTGGATGGAGGGAAGGAGGGAGGGATAAATGGATGGACAGACTGGATGGAGGGAGAGATGGGTGGATGGATGGATAAATGGACGGACTGATGGACAGATGGAGGGAGGTAGGGATGGATGGATGGGTGGATGGATGGATAGAAGGACAGAGGGATGGATGGATGGATGGATAAATGGATGGACAGACAGATAGATGGAAGGAGGGAGGGATGGATGAATGGATAAATGGATAGAAGGACGGAGGCATGCATGGATAGATGGAGGGGAGGGATGGATGGAGGGAGGGATGGACAGAAGGAGGGATGGACAGAAGGAGGGATGGATGGATGGATGTACGGACAGATGGATGATGCTGATCCTGTTCCTGCTGCATGGGGAGCAGGGCTGGGGGGGCTCCCCCCTCACAGCAGCCTCCAGAGCCCCCAGTGGGGCCCCTCCTCAGAGCGATGCCCCCAGCACAGGACCAGGGGGTGCTGCTGGGGGGGGGGCATCCACAGCGCGGGTGCTCTGCTGGGTGCGCGCACCCCCGCTCCTGCGCAGCCGCCGTGAGGGGGGGGTGGGGGGATGCTGCTCCCTTCCTCCCTCCCGCCCCCCCCCGGACCCGCGGCCGCGGTGGAACCGGACGCGCCGGGCGCTGGTGCCGGTGCCCGCCCCCGGGGCGGGGTCAGCGCTCGGCCGGGCCGGGCCGGGCCGGGGCACGATGGCGGAGGCGGCGCAGGCGCGGGTGCAGGCGGCGGTGGAGGGCGCGGTGCAGGAGCTGGAGCGGGAGCGCATCCGCGGCCTGCAGGTACCGGGGGGGGGCATGGGGGGGACGGGATCGGGATCGGGCCCCGAGGGGGGAGCCGCTGCCCCCCCCCCCATGCCCCACGTGTGTGAGCACGAGTGCGGCCGGGGCAGCGCCTGATCCCCCCCCCAGTGCGGGCCGTGAACCCCCAGCCCCGTGCGTGCCCCCCAACCCCTCCTGTGCCCCACAACACACCCTGTGCCCCCCAGCACATCCTGTGCCCCCTAAGCATTGACCTCTACCCCCTCTGCATGTGTTGTGCCCCCAGACATTGCCCTGTGTTCCCCCACATTGCATCTCCTGTGCCCCTCCAACACACCCTGTGCCCTCCACACACGCCTTGTATCCCCCACAACACCCTGCATCCCCTGCACGTGCCCTGTGCTCCCCCCACTGCATCTCCTTTGCCCTCCCATTGCCCTGCATCCCCCATCACACCCTGTGCCCCCCATTGCCCTGTATCACCATCACATCCTGTGCCCCCATTGCCCTTCATCCCCCATCACAGCCTCTGCCCCCCATCACACCCTGTATCCCCCCATCACACCCTATGCCCTCTCATTGCCCTGCATCCCCCATCACACCCTGTGCCCCCATTGTCCTGTATCCCCCCATCACACCCTGTGCCCTTCCATTGCCCTGTGCACCCCCATTACACCTTGTGCTCCCATTGCCCTGTTATCCCCCCATCACACCCTGTGCCCCCATTGCCCTGTTATCCCCCATCACACCCTGTGCCCATCACACACTGTATCCCCAATCACACCCTGTGTCACCCATTGCCCTGTATCCCCCCATCACACCCTGTGCCCCCATTGCCCTGCATCCCCCCATCACACCTGTGCCCCCCATCACACGCTGTATCCCCCATCACACCCTGTGCCCCCATTGCCCTGCATCCCCCCATCACACCCTGTGCCCTCCCATTACCCTGTCCACCCCCATCACACTCTGTACCCCCATTGCCCTGTATCCCCATCACACCCTGTGCCCCCGTCACACCCTGTGCCCTCCCATTGCCCTGTGCACCCCATCACACTCTGTACCCCCATTACCCTGTATCCCCATCACACCCTGTGCCCCCCATTACCCTGCACCCCCATGTCCCCCCCACAGCTGCATACACAGGTCGCACCCCCACAAAGGTTTGGGGCGTCCCCTCTCACCCCTCTCCCCACAGGGCACCATGTTCCGGTGCAGCGCGCGGTGCTGCGAGGACAGCGCGGCCTCCATGCAGCAGGTCCAGCGCTGCATCGAGCGCTGCCACGCGCCCCTCGCCCAGGCACAGGCCATCGTCACCGCCGAGCTCGAGAGCTTCCAGGTGAGGACGGGATGGGACAGCCCGCACCGGGATGGGGGCACGCACCGGTACCCACTGACCCCGTTACCTGTGCCCCTAGGACCGCCTGAGCCGCTGCACGCTGCATTGCAATGACAAGGCGAAGGATGCTCTGGATGCAGGGACAGCAGAGAGCAGGGTGCGCGGGCAGCTCGACGCCTGTGTTGCTGCGTGCGGGGACGACCACCTCCGCCTGGTGCCTGCCATGGCCAAGAAGATGATGGACAGCCTGGGGGCCCTGCAGCAGTGATGGGGGACACCCCCCTCCCGACCCTGCACTCATTAAAGGCGAGGAGGAGCCACGCTGCTGCCACCCGCGGGTGCTGCGGGGTCGGGGTGCGGGTGCTGTGGGTGATGCTCGCACGGGGCGGCCCTTGCGTGGGTGCTTTATGGGGTGGTGCGGAGGTGGCAATAGGATGGGGGTGATGGGTGCAGACCTAAATGGGAGGTTCAGGGTGGAGATAAGGCAGAAGTGATTTATGTGAGGGTGCTGAGGCGCTGGCACAGGGTGCCCAGAGAAGCTGGGGCTGCCCCATCCCTGGCAGTGCTCAAGGCCAGGTTGGACACAGGGGTTGGAGCAAGCTGCTCCAGTGGAAGGGGTCCCTGGGTTGGAGCTGGATGAGCTTTAAGGTCCCTTTATCCCAAACCAGGCTGGGATGCTGCGGTGCCCTGCAGGGCATGGGGAGATGTGCAGGGGATGGAGGGGTTGCAGATGTGCCTTGCGTGTGTGCACAGCGTGGGGTGACCCCGGTGTAGGTGCGGGGCAGGCCTGCAAGTGTGCAAGGTGCAGGGTGCGTGCATGGCACAAGGTGTGAGCACAGCACAGGGCCACCCTGCACATGGGCCATGCGCAGCATGGGTGACCCCGCTGCGCACACACACACACACACACACACACATGCACACACATGGTCACACGTGCACACACTTTCACACGTGCACACACGTTCTCATGTGCACACACATTCACCTGCACATACATGTTCTCATGTGCACACACGCACACACATGTTCACACATGGTCAGACATGCACACACGTTCTCACATGCACACTTCACGAGTGTACACACATTCTCATGCACACACATGTTCTTGAACACATTCATACATACACATGTTCTCACATGAACACACGTTCATACGCACACGCATGTTCTCGTGCACACACGTTCACACGTGCACACTTCACACATGCACACATTCTCATGCACACGTTCTCACGTGCACACACACGTTCTCACATGCACACACGCATTCACACGTGCACACACATTCTCACATGCACACACATGTTCTCACCTGCACATACATTCATTCACACATGAACATTCACGTGCACACGCAGGCTGTGCGGTAGGCGCATGCCGGCCGTGCCGCCGTATTTCCCCGTGTAGTCGCGCACTACTGCCCTTTGCCGCTCTTCCCACGCATCAGTGCTGCGCTGCTACTCGGGGCAGTACGGTAGCGGCCCCGCGGTCTGTGATTGGCTGCCGGGGGGCGCGAGGAGCGGCGGGAATGCAGAGGGGGGGACCAAGGCGCTGCTGCCATTGGCTAGCGGGGGAGCTGGCGGCGTGGTGACGTCAGGGCGCGGCGCGAGCGGCAGCGTGAGGGGAGCCGGGTCCGAGGAGCCGCCATGAGCAAAGCGCACCCACCCGAGCTAAAGAAGTGCGAACGGGAACTGGAACGGGAATGGGGTTGGAAGGAGAAGGGGGACCGGGAGGGGACGTACAAACGGGGCCCGCCGCGATCCGCCGGCCGCCGGTGTCCCGGCGTGCACCGCGGGGGTCCCGGTGTCATGGCGGCGGGGATGGGGTGCGGTGATGGCGGGTGCTCCCCTGCGCTCAACCGCCGCCGTTGTCTCGTTGCAGGTTCATGGACAAGAAGCTGTCATGTGAGTCCCGGAGCTGCTCCCGGCCCCGAGCCGTCGTTGCCGCGGGTGTCGGCGGGGTAAAGGGGCTGCGCGGCCGCGGGAGGAAAGGGGGGGCGGTCATGGTGCCCCCCCGGCATGGTTCGCTGTAGTGGGGAACCCGCGCTGGTGCTGCTGCTCAGCGAGGGCCGGAGTGGGCCCTGAGTGGTTTCAGCCTCCAAACCCCATTCATTCGGATCAGTATTGATTTATAATTCGGACTCTTCTTCAAAATCCATTCATTTGGGTCAGTATTAATTTAAAATTCATGCTCCTAAACTCTAAAAATGGTCTTCTTGCGATGTTGGACGTGGTAAGGAAGAGTCTGCTTCCCAAAACGGTGCTCAGGTGTTGGAACAGGCTGCCCAGGGCAGGGCTGGAGTCACCGTTCCTGCAAGTGTTCACACACCCTCAGTGCCATGGGTTAGTGGTGGCCTTGGCAGTGATGGGAATGGTTGGACTGGATGAGCTTAAAAGGGCTTTTCCAACCTGTTTGATTCTTTGATGCTCTAAGTGCCTCTGATTAACAATAGAACATCCCTCCCTATGGCCCCCCTCCATTTCAAAGCCACACTCCTGGTGAGAAAACACGGAATACTCATATCCAGCTCCTTTCCCTGCTCTGATTGTGCTCCGAATTTCTCATAGTGAAGTTAAATGGTGGCCGACACGTCCAAGGGATCCTGCGGGGGTTTGATCCCTTCATGAACCTGGTCATTGATGAGTGCGTGGAGATGGCACCGGGCGGACAGCAGAACAACATTGGCATGGTGGTGAGTGCTGTGGGAAGGGCACGCACAGCCTGTAGCTGGTGTGTGGAAAACAACCTGGATTTCAGCAGCATGGAATAACCTAGGAGGTTTTAGAGTTAAATCATTCAGTGTTCATAGACCGGGGAGTAAAATCCATGTGAATATTTGGTGCAGCATCAGCTTTTTGGGATAATAAATGGGAGGGAGGGTGCTGAATGTGCTGCATCTCACTAGCCACCCTGAACTTCTGCTGTTAGGTAATAAGAGGAAACAGCATCATCATGCTGGAAGCATTGGAACGAGTATAGCAGCAGGGAGACCCTCGTTGTTACCAGCTGTAACCAGCCCTGACCAACCTGCTCTGTTTACTCCTTGAATCTGCCATGAAGCACCCTGAGCATAAACTTATTTTTGTTTTGTTAAATAAATTTTGTAATGGTTGACATAAATTAAGTTGTACTTTATGGGTTTTTTTGGGGGGGTAATGGGGCAGCTGAAGCATTATTGGATCTTGGGATGGATGTTCTACATTCAAACACAGGGAAGGTGGGATTTATTGAAGCAAGTGTGAAACTGGTGCTACTTCTGGTGGCCGTCCCCTTCCTATTTCAGAAAGGAGCTACAACACTGTGTCATGTGTGTTCAGGGGTTATTTGGCTCTGAATCAGCAGGAAAATGGTAACATTCACCTTAGTGAGGAGTGGTGTGGAGTATTTGTGCCAGGCTGGGCTGCATGAAAGCAGGAATTTTCTTTAAATCATGGTATTTACTCCTCTGCACCATGGATGTGTGGTGCAGGAACCAAAGCCTGCAGGAGCTGACTGGGACTGAAGAAACCTTTCCATCATTCCCCCAAAAGGGTCCAAATTAAGTCTTTTGAATGTTTTTTGTGAGCAAAGGTGCTTCCACATACAGGTCTTTATAGGCAGAAACCATCTTTTTTACCACTGGTTTTAATTCAATTCAAGTTTAATACAAGGTTTCAAGTGCTTTCCCCAGCACCACTAAGGATGCCATTTGTAAGGGCAATATTCAGACACAGCTGAGGTATGGCAGCATTATTAGAGGCAGTTGTGGGACACAGACTCTTCTCATCTAAATTAATGCTTTTAAAACCTTAATAAAGCAAAGGACAGGAGTGGCTTTGACTACTTACAACCCATTTTGGCAACTCGTGTCCTGCCAGCAGACCAGTCCCCCCAACCCATAAGCTCCAGTACTTGTTCTGGAAGCAAATTAAGAACACAGCCCCAATTTCCACCACACTAATAGGAATAACTTGATAAACCCTTCACAAATAGCTGAGGGAAGAGATTTACAGTCAAGAAGTTGACATTCCCTCCCTGAAATACTTGGGAGAGGGAAGGTGATGTGCCTTAATCACAGTAATCACAGTGATGCAGATCCTGAGTGGACTTCTTACCATGGAGGGTGTTCTGGGGTCAATATTGCATTTAAAACTACTTCAATCTCACACAGGGATAGATGGAGCAGTTTTCCCAATGAAGGACCACAAGAATTTGCTTGGGGAAGGGCCAACTCACATGGGAAAGCTTCCTCTGTCATCCTAGTCCATCCTGAGCTGGCTGCATGTCCCCTCTTAAGGGCTAAGTGAGAAGTTAATCATTCCTTAGCTCTAATTGTGGTTAAACAGCCACAGAACATGATCCGTATCTTGAGATGCTTCCAGCCATTGGCTCTGTGCGGCTCAAAGCTCCGTTTTCAGCTTCTCATGCAAACCCTCCTGGTCGATCCTGTCGGTGTTGCCGTACCACCGGTGGTAAGCCAGCAGGGCGGCGTTCTTGGCAGCGATGGCGCTCATCTCCATGGCGCTGGCTGCCCGCTCGATGCCGTTCAGGTAGTAGATGTTGTCATGGAGGATGATAGGAGGACACCCCTCAGGGGGGCTGTAGTGGGGGTAGGCCAACCACGTCTTCACCTTGACGGAGTCATAGGAGGAGAAGAGCAGGTTAAGCTGCTCTTTGGTGAGCACCTCCTTGGAGAACACCTTCCAGACAGCCGACTGCAAGGCCAGCTTGCCTTCACCACCTCCATCCTCCACGGGAGACACCACCCCCACGCTACTGAAGAACAGTTTGGGGTTCTCCATAGTGAAGATGGCACCGAAATTAAAAGCCTCTGGATTGCGGTAACCGAAGAAAGAGGCGTTCAACCGTCCATGCACAAACGTTGCCACAGTCTTGTGGTAAAGGTTTGGGAACTCAGGGACAGGAGGGTTGAAGTTCTTGAAGGTGATGTTGGCCATTTTGGGGCTGAGTGGAGCAGCAATGACAACGATGTCATACGTGTCCCCTGTCAGTCCTGATGTAGTGTTGTACGTCACCTGGTAGAGCTTTACGGGGTCCCCTGGGGGAGAAAAGCTCTGTTAGTCCTCTCCATGGCTGAAGGGAATCCCGTTTGCCCCTTTCAAAACCATCATTCCTTTAAAATGCCACACATTCAAGCTAATGATGCCTTGCTGCAGGCTGAAGTAGCTCTATAAACTAGTACCAGCTTAGCTGTGGGAGGGTGGTGAGATAGGACTTTGAGCAGAACCCTAATTTCATCTTAAAATAACCTCCAAAAAGACCCAATGTGTTGGTTTGGTCTGCCAAGAGCAGTGATGGAGGCTACCACCACTCTCCAGCTGCTGGAATGAGCCATTCCTATCCCCACCAAAGGGAAAGCAAACCCAACTCACCTGTGGGCCTGGGTCTGACTTTTGGCTCTATGGATAACACTGTACCAGAGATAACATCAGCTTTGGAGGCATAGAGAAGGCCACTGCAGACAAGTTTGTTCCCACCTTTTACTGACCAAACACCCGATTCCACCCCTGCCAGAGAAACAGCACCTACAAAGGAAACCCCAATCATTAGAGTCATTCGTTTAATGTAGTTGTGTGGAGGGAACACTTGAAACAGTGGAAAATGAGGGGGGAAACATCCTTTTGGGGCACAGAGGTTGCTGAAGGCCAGGGCTAAGCAGGTTGCCAGCACTTTGTTGGAGTGAAGCAGTACCCCAGCTCGGGGACCTGGAATCCCATGCCCATAAAGAGCACCGGGACTGGGATGTGGGGTGGGATTCCAGCCACACTGGAAGGTTAACCTATGAAACACTCACCTACAAAGCCATTGATGTTGACACCTTGCCCATAATTGACTCTCATGGCTGGACAAACCACCTCATTTATGAATTTATGGGAGAAGCCAGCTTTCTGCATGGCTTCGTCGATGGTTTGGTTCAGCATCTGGATGAAGTCGTTCCCTCCCAGGGCATGAAGCAGGTGCTCGTTGCTGCTGAAGGCGTAGTCATGCATCTGGTAGCGGTAGATCCTTTAATCAGAGACAAGAAATTAGCCTTCAGTTGCTGTGAATTACCTTTGCTGAAGCTGTGGAGGATCTCACAATGCAGCTCCTGAGAGCCTGCATGGAACAGCAGGGCTTGTCCTTCCAGCCAAGCCTTAGCCTGGACCTTCATTATTCATTTCCTGATCTTTCCTAACAAAACCCCTTTGTGCACAGGTAGGAATTGCATTCCCTTTAGCACCCAGGTGCCAGATAGTTGGCACATCCCACATCCACTGCACGTTCCCACCTCTTGTTACTGCTGTTTGAAGATGACAGCTCTTACCTTGACCTTTTCCCTTAGAAAACTGATTGATGATGGAGAAAGGGCACCAGCGGCTCCTTTCTCAACACCAATCTTTACAGCTCAGCAGCAGGTTTCACCCTTCTCCTGAAGCCTTTAAGCCCTAGCAGGACCCAGACCTACCGCATGAACTTGTCCAGGATGTCCTCCACCCACATGTACATCCGCAGGGGGTTGAGGCCATAGTGCCAGAGCAGCTTGAAGAGGTTGATGATGTACCAGTTGCTCTCCTCGAACACAAACTCCTCCCCGTTATAAACCCCTGCGAGGCTGCCGTGTCCTGAGGCAACCGAGAGGCCTTGGGGAGAAAACATCATTTAATGAGAGACAGAGCTTGTGCCATAGAAACATGGAATGGGTTGAGGCAGAAAGGAGCTTAAGGCTCATCCAGCCCCTGCCACGGGCAGGGACCCCTTCCACTGGAGCAGCTTGCTCCAAGCCCCTGTGTCCAACCTGGCCTTGAGCACTGCCAGGGATGGTGTGAAGCTGAACTCTATCACACCTTGATTCTAGCTCTGTGTTGATAAGGGTGAGCAATTGAAGACTGCATCCCTGAGAAAGGGGAATTCATTCTTGACCAGGAGCCAAGCAGTTATTTGCAGTGGCTTTTGGACCTTTATAATGCATTGCCATGGGGGAGGAGGTGCATTACTTCCGTTGGGATATGGGTCTCCTTTTCCCTGGGTGGAGACTGGGGTACCACAGGGGGCTACGAGGGGGTGCTGGGGAAGGGGTATCAGGGAAGGATACTGGGGGTGATATATGGAGGAAGGATATAAAGGAAGGATACTGGGGGGGGGATATGAAGGAAGTATATAAGGGGGAGCACCGGGGAAAGATATGGGGGGATATTAGGGAAGATATGAGGGAATAATATTGGGGGGGACATGGAGAAAGGATATGAGGGAAGTGGGGGATATGGAGGAAGGATGGGGGGGTACTGGGCAAGGATACTGGGGGGATATGGAGAAGGATATAAGGGAAGGCTAGTGGGGGGATATGAGGGAAGGATATGGGGGGTATTGGGCAAGGATATTGGGGGGTATGAGGAAGGCTATTGGGAGAAGGATACTGGGGGGATATAAGGGAAGGCTATTGGGGCACACTGGGGAAGGATAAGGAGGGATATTGAGCGGGATACTAGAGAAGGCTATTGGGGAAGGGAGTGGGACAGCCCAGGCTTGTTCTTTACGGGGACGTGCCCCCATCAGAGCGGATCTGGACCCAGCGCATCCCTATGGGGTGCGTGTGGTGCAGCTGGGGCCAGCACTCACCCAGCTCCTTCACGAAGTGCTTCATGTGCAGGTTGAGCGGGTGCAGGACGGACCCCCCCGCCTCATAGCCGGCGCCCTCCACCTCCAGCGTGGCCAAACGGCCCCCGACCGCCTCCTTCTCCAGCACCTCCACCCGCACGCTCCTCCCGAACTTCTGCCGCAAGAAGTACGCGGCGGCCGCGCCTCCGATCCCGCCGCCGACCACGGCTGCGAGAACGGGCACGGGCCGTCAGCGCTGCCCCTCACGGCCCGCCCCGCCGCCCCCTCCGCCCTTCCCCGCCGTACCGATCTTGCCGGGGGCATCGCGCGGCCGCCCGAGGCTCGGCACGGGCGGGCAGAGAGCGGCGAGGAGCACGAAGAAGCGCAAGGCCGTCATGGCGGGGCCGGGCTCAGCGCCGCCCCGTTCAGCGCGTCCCGGCCGCGGGCGGGCCGGCCGTGAGGGAGGGCGGCCGTGAGGGAGGGCGGCGGAAGGCTGCCAGCCGCGCCGCTGGTGTAGTGGTATCATGCAAGATTCCCATTCTTGC